ATTCGTGATTATTCCTAGGGTTCCCAAGTTCAGCTATAGGGTCTTCAGTTTTTGGGTACTAGAATTCCTGAGAAACAGCTCAGCTATAAGATCTTCATGTTTCGGGTACTCCCTAAGAAACAGCATTTTTCCTGGGGTTCTCAAGCTCAGCTATTTTGGGTACTATAAATTCCCTAAGAAACAGCAATACATGTAATTTTTGGGTCTGTTATTCCTAAAACCCTAAATCCTAAACCCCCTAAACCCCCTAACCCTAAACCCTTTTAAGGTCATTGGCCCTGTGGGCTGCTTCATCCTCTCGGAAGCTTGGTGGCACCTAAACCCCGAACCCCAAACCCTAACCCTAAACCCCAAACCCTAAACCCCAAACCCTAAACCCTAAACCCTGAGCCCAGCGGTGCCCTTTTCCCTGAGTTTTTGGACTCCAGGTGCCCCTTGTGGCGTAACCAACCCCCAAAAAGGGTACCCTTATTGAAATATGGTTACTGGGCTAGCCCTAAACCCTAAACCCTAAACCTAAACCCTAAACCCTAAACCCAGGAAGGCTGCAAGATCATCAGCGCCTACCAGGCCAGGAAGTACCAGGAGTCTCTGGCCATCTCGCAGTCTGACTCGGGCCCATCTCTGCCCATCAAGAAGCTCGGTTCAGGGTTTAAGGTTTAGGTTTCAGGGTTTAGGGTTTAGGGTTTAGGGTTTAGGGTTTAGGGTTTTAGGGTTTTAGGGTTTTAGGGTTTAGGGTTTAGGGTTTAGGGTTTAGGGTTTTAGGGTTTTAGGGTTTTAGGGTTTAGGGTTTAGGGTTTAGGGTTTAGGGTTTAGGGTTTTTGGGACATTTGTATTTTCCCTTTATTGGGTTTAAGAGGATATCCAATTCAGGAGTATTTATTGCAGAGGGTTGCATTTAAGAGGATCCTATTCAGGAGTATTTTGTCAGAGGGTTGGGTTTGGAGGATCCTATTCAGGAGTGTTTTTCAGAGGTTCTTAAGGAACCCTAAACTGAAGCGAGCTGCGGGCGTTGCGGTGAGCAGCAGCGAGCGTGCAGGGGGCGACAGCCCCTGCCAGCTCCGGAGCTGTCGCGTGAGTCGCAGCGAAGGAGCTCCGTTAGCTGCACCTGGAAGGTGCCGGCGCACGCGACAGGCGTGATGGAGCATAAGAGAAATATATGACCCTAAACCTTGAACTCCTAGAATTTAGGATTTAGGGTTTAGGATTTAGGGTTCAGGGCAGACCCTCCCGGACCACGCCTGGAGCCTTTCCGGGCTCCTCCCGGACCATTTCTGAGCCTTTTCTGTTTGGGCTTTTTTTGGTCCTCCCAGGCCATTTCTGAACCTTTTTGGGCTCCTCCCGGACCAGTTCTGAGCCTTTTTGCGCTCCTCCCGGACCATTTCTGAGCCTTTTTTGGGCACCTCTCCCCGGACCACTTCTGAGCCTTTTTGTGCTCCTCCCGGACCATTTTTGAGCCTTTCCCGGACCATTTTTGAGCCTTTACGGCTCCTCCCAGACCACTTCCGAACCATTGCTGAGCTTTTTTGGGGCTTTTTTGAGCTTCGCCCAGCCTTCCCAGACAAGTTCGCAGCAAAAACGTCCCCAGATCCCAAAGCATAAACCTTGGACCATTTCAAACCTTTTGGGCCTTTCCCAGACCATTTCTGAACCTGTTTGTGTGTTGCCGGACCATTTCCGAGCTTTTTTGGGCTTTTCCCGAACCAGTTCTCAGCTTTCAAGTCCCCCAAATCCCAAAACACAAACCTCGATCCGAGGATACTAAGAGGAGAGCCGACAACGAAAACAAACCCTAAACCCGACCAAGGTTATAAATTGGGTGGGTGGGTTGGGAGAGGACGTGAACCTTGGCGCACACCACAACACACGCCCTGCATGGTGGTGTGCGCGGAGCGTGTGACACACCCTAAACCCTAAACCCTAAACCCTAAACCCTAAACCCTAAACCCTAAACCCTAAACCCTAAACCCTAAACCCTAAACCCTAAACCCTAAACCCCTGCAGAAACCCTAAACCCTAAACCGTGCCATCCCAGGAAAGTCGCCAAGCCCGTGAAGGCGGCGGCCGAGGCCGAGAAGCCCTTGAAGGGCCGCTGTGGTGGCTGCTGGACCTGGTGTCTGTGTCATTGTTGAGAATAACTTTTCATTTTTAGGGTTTAGGGTTTAGGGTATAGGGTATAGGGTATAGGGTATAGGGTTTAGGGTTCTTATGAATACTTAAACCCAATAAGGAACAAGCATGATCATTTTTAAGTTGTACCCTAGCCATGGTGCAGGTTTGGCTGAGAGGTCGTTGCAGGCGGAGTCTGTGCGGCCAATGAGGGGGGCCCAGCTACGCCTTTTCCTTCGCAGCCCCCTTGCCTTCCACAAAGTGAAACTCAGTCAGTCGCAGGCAGTTAAGTCAGAATCATCAGACTCTGACCCATGGAAACAAGGCCGAGGGGCCGTGCTACCCTTACTTGATGCGATTTTTTCCCTGCTTGAAAAAAGCGTACTCAGAGAACTCTTGATTCTTTGGGGGCACAGCTGTTCTCTCGCTTTCTACCTATTTAGGATACTGGATGTAGAGTTATTGTGCCATCTCGTGCCCTTACCAAGTACAATGCTGCTGGTAGCGCGGCATCCTGTAGCAATACCCCGCTGCATTTTGCAAGCGCCGCTTGGAGGTTCATGCTACTCAACAACCCATATTACCGTACTTACATCTGTGCTGAAAAAAACCATATTAGGGCACTGGAGGAGCTTATAAGCGGGTTAGAAGTACAGTTATAATTGGGTTATGAAGTACCATGAGCCTCCAAGCACTTCTCCGTAAATATTGGCTTTTGCGAGCTCTTGCACTCTTTGCCGTACTGTAGCCGCCCGCTGCTGTCACCGGCCGGGTTGCCACGCTGCTGGGATTGGAGATCACAGCAGCTGAAGCAGTCTTTAAAAGCCTTGGGGACCAAATGAACCCTAAACAAATTGGCGTGTCATGTACCCTATACATAGCATAGCAAGACCCTCGAGAATGGCATGGCACAGAGAGAGAGATAGAGCGAGAGAGATACCCTCTACATCCATATACTACTATGATCCCTCTTAAGGTTCATGAGAGAGATATATATATATATATATATATGGTTCAGCGTCGAGCGTCCTGGGCCCCCCCCCCCCCATGGTATCCCCCCCCCCAAGTCTACTCTACGGTCCCTAAACCCTAAACCCTAAACCCTAAACCCCTAAACCCTAAACCCTAAACCCTAAACCCTAAAACCTAAACCCTAACCCTAAACCCTAAACCTTAAGTCTTAAACCTTAAACCCTAAACCCTAAAACCCTGAACCCTAAACCCTAACCCTAAAACCAACCCCCAACCACACCACAGGGGGGGGGGATCATCTTAGTACCCCATCCGCGGGGAAAACCCTAAACCCTAAACCCTAAACCCTAAACCCTAAAACCCTAAACCGTAAACCCTAAACCCTAAACCCTAAAACCCTAAAACCCTAAAACCCTAAACCCTAAACCCTAAACCCCCCTAAAACCAACCCCCAACCACACCACAGGGGGGGGGGGGGGTACCATTGGGGGGGGGGGGGGGGGGGGGGGGGGGGGGGGGGGTAGGGGGGAGGGGGGGGGGGCCCGCCGGGGCTGAATCATATATATATACCCTACACAGCCCTATACTACTACAGCCCCTCTTCATGTTACATGAATCACAGACCCTTTTAGGGTTCGTTTGGTCCACAAGGAGCTCGGCCTTTCGTCAGCGGCCTGTAAGGCTTCCCTTACTCGTCGTCGGGGATCCAGCGAAGCTGAACTCCCGAGGCCCCAGAATAAGAAGGCTGTCCAGGCAGCCGTAAACCGAGAAAGTGCTCTGCCTCATGGCGAGAAAGAGGCCCCCTGCAAAGCACGTCGTTGCACCCAAGTCGTAGTGGATACCCTAAACCCTCAAACCTGAAACCCTAAAACCCTAAAACCCTGAAACCCTAAAACCCTAAAACCCCAAAACCCTAAAACCCTAAAACCCCAAAACCCTAAAACCCTAAAACCCTAAAAGCCTAAAACCCTAAAACCCTAAAACCCTAAAACCCTAAAACCCTAAAACCCTAAAACCCTAAAACCCTAAAACCCTAAAACCCTAAAACCCTAAAACCCTAAAACCCTGAGCCCTAAACCCTAAACCCTAAAACCTAAACCCTAAACCCTAAACCCTAAACCCTAAACCCGCGGTTTTTGGGCAAACCCGGCGGCTCCAGTGCAGGCGCTGGTGGCAAGCTTCCTCTTTGGAGACATCTGGAGAGAGCTCTTCCCAGGCCTGGCCTAGGGTTTAGGGTTTAGGGTTTAGGGTTTAGGGTGTTTAGGGTGTTTAGGGTGTTTAGGGTTTAGGGTTTAGGGTTTAGGGTTTAGGGTGTTTAGGGTGTTTAGGGTTTAGGGTTTTAGGGTTTAGGGCTAGGGTGTAGGGTTTAGGGTTTAGGGTTTAGGATTTAGGATTTAGGATTGGGGCTGGGGTCAGGTTTAGGGTGTGGCAGTCATGATCACAGTGTGTGATAGTGTGGTGTCACCTCCAGGCATGTCCCAAGCTCCTGGCTCAAAGCTGTAAGAAGAAGCTTTGTGGAAATAGGGGTTGGTGGCAATACCAGCGAGCTCTTGGTTCACAATCCGGTTGCAGATTTCCCTGTAGTGTGGTTTGCAGTTAGGTTTCGGGTCAAGCTTGTTGCAAAAAAGGTAAATAAGAGCTGCGAAACCTAGTTTTGGGACTTGTTTGCGGTTTTTGGGTTTATGGTGTCAAGAACAAGAGTGTTTGTCTCAAACATTCTCAGAGTAGACAAAGCAACCCCCTCCCCCCCCCCCCCCTCCCCCGCGATCACATGGGGGGTCTACGAAAAGAAGAGACCCCTATAATTATAATAGCCCCCCAACTAGTCTACCCTAAACCCGAGACCCTATAAGGTACCCCTAATTTCGGAAGACCCCCACATGTGAAAACCAAAGTCTGCACACCCGGAAGGAGGCGTGATGAACCGATGGTTCCTGCAGCACTGGTGCGACGTCAACGCGCGCCCCGACCCAGAAGTCGGCCCTACATTTGTAGGGTTTTTAGGTTTTAGAGTCTTTAGGGTTTAATTAAGGTTTAATGAAGGTTCAATTAGGGTTTTTTAGGTTTTTTTTTGGGTTTAGGTTTTTTAGGGTTTAGGGTTTTAAGGGTTTAGGGTTTTTAGGGCTTTGAGATCCCTACTTTGATGCGTGTACGAGTGCGAGCGCGAGGGTCGAAACACCATGCTTAGGGCATCTAAATCACAAGCGCTCTCGGGCCCCATTCCGTTTCTTTGAAGGTCGCCTCGTCGGCACAGGGCCCATTCTGTGACCATCCATGGTTAATGCGTTGGGTAACCCTAGTCCTTGAACCCTAAACCCTAAACCCTAAACCCTAAACCCTAGGGCCGATTGCCCATGTTGCACCCCGAGCCAGTTTCGCCCGTAGGGTTTGAGGTGTACAGAACCCAAAACTTTGTCATAGTGGGGTAACATTTTACATTTTTAAGGGTACTTAAACTCAATAAGGAATACAATTTTAAAATTTTATTACTATCCCAACTATGAACCAGACCTGGGAATAAAAAGGGTGTCCTTTGTGTTCAAAGGCGCTTACAAGGGAGCAAACACCTAAATAACAAAAGGAAAAGGGCCTACTCTAGGTCCCAGTAGCCCTAAACCCTAAACCCCAAACCCCTAAACCCTAAACCCCCCAAGCCCTAAAATAAGGTTCCATGGTGTGCTACCTCAGATTGGGTGTGTGGCCCCCATCACTAGGGCCTTTGTTGCACCCGGACTCTTGTCCTCATCAGCTGGCCCATCAATTGCAAAAGTACCGTTGCCCCAAAAAACCTAAACCTCAAACTGCACGGGAATTTTCGATCCAGGGCTTAGGGTTTAGGGTTTAGGGTTAGGTTTTAGGGTTTAGGGTTTAGGGTTTAGGGTCAGAGATTTAGAAGAAGTAGTTACAGCATAGGCCATTCATGTATTGATCTCGAGAAATTGGGTGTTGAGGGCAGGGTTTGTGGTTAAAAAGGGTTTAGGGCTTGCAGCCCTAAACCCCACAACCCTCTATGTTCCAAATTCTGAACGCTAAGCTACTCATTGCGTAAGAACACCCCCCCCCAAAAAAAAAAAAAAAAATAATTAAAAGAAAGTGCAAAAGTATTTTCCTTATAAGGCCAATATAGGGATGATTGCTTTGTACTTTTGGCGGGGGGGTCATAAGCGAATAATTAGCCCTAAACCCTAGATAGACCCTAAACCCACTCCGAACTCGAGCTTATGAGTCTCAGGTACTGGGTGGTCTCTTGGGCCTCTTGCAGCCACCTGAAAGGTTTGCGTTTCAGCAGAGGTTTACAACTACCAAGATCATCCCCTTGCAATTATCCTTGTATTAGCTGTCGGGTTTAGGATTCGAAAATTGATGCCTGGCGGGTGGCCAACGTACCCTGCGCCCTATAACCCAAAAACCCTAAAACCCTGAAAGCCTAAAACCCTACGCCCAAAACCCAAAAACCCTAAACCCTAGCCGTAAAGCCTAAACCCCTAAAACCCTAGACCCCGAGGCGCTTGGACAACGCACGTGTCTCCAAGATCCACCCCATGGCGCCGTTGATGATTCGCGGCGCTGCCGCCCGGTCTGAGACCTTCCCGGGGTTCTGGGATTTTGGTGTGTAGGCGTTTAGGGTTTTGGGATTTTGGGGATTGGGGTATGGGCTTCTTCCGGTTCTTCCAGAAGCGTTGGGGTGTAGGGTTTAGGGTTTCGGGGTTTCGGGGTTCTGGGTGCTTCCAGAAGATTTGGGGGTGTAAAGTTTAGGGTTTCGGGTTTCGGTTTTGCCAAGGAATGTGGGCCCACAGCCATAACCCTAAACCTCACTCAGCTCTAGCCCCCCCCATAAACCCTCGCAGTTTTCATAAGGAGGAATCGGTCCGGGCCCCCAAACCCGAAACCCTAAACCCCAAACCACAAACCCCAAACCTGGCCCTTTACACGCAGCCACCGCAGGCGCCGGTGGCATGCAGGAAGGAGCACAGGAGGTTCGGGAGGTTTAGGGTTTCGGGTTTTGTGTTTCTCTGAATACCACCGTTTAGGGTGTAAGGTTTAGGGTTTCGGGTATCTCTGAATACCACCTTGGTGTTATGTGTTTACATGCTTCTAGGTGTCATGGAAGCCCTAATCCCGAAACGCTAAACCCTAATCCTAAACCCTAAGATCTTCGTTCTGAGAACTGGCGCAAAGACCCCCCCCCCCCCCCTGCCCCCCCAACCTTCAAAAAAACCCGAAGCTGAAGACCGCTCAGGTGTTAAAGCCATGCTCAGCTGGAACCCTTATCCCTGTACCCTAAACCCGAAACCCTAACCCCTAAGCCCGAAGCCCGAGGCCCTGAACCCTAAACCCCAAACCCTAAACCCTAAACCCAAGCCCTCAAAATGTCTTGCGCTGAGGGCTTCGGATTCAGGCTTTGCCTTTAGATCCGACATTTGTCGGGGCTCCAGGGTGGGCTGCGACGTGGGATGGCGAAGGCAATTCGAGGTTCCCTCATGAGAAGCCTTAGAGGGTTTTATAAGGTTTAGGGTTTAGGGTTTGGGGTTTAGGGTTTAGGGTTTAGGGTTTAGGGTTTAGGGTTTAGGGTTTAGGGCTACTCGGACCCAGAGTAGGCTCTTGTTTTTTTTTTTTGCTCTTCTTAGGGTTCAGGTTCCCTTACACAAGTCCCTTTAAACCAAAATGGGCACCCTCTCTTGTTCCTCGCTTACTTTCGGGTATTGTTGGATTATTGACATATTGAGGTTAATCAGGGTTTAGGTTTACGGTTGAACCCTAAAACCTGAAGTTTCGGGTGCTCTTCCCGCGTCACAGGTTTGTGGCCGAGCACCGGGACAACTGGGATTTGATGGCTGCCGCCGGCTCCATCGAGGCAAAGCAACCCTAAACCCTGAACGAAACCCTAAATGGGTGACCCATTATACGCTAGGGTCGATTAGCAAAAATTTAGGGTTTAGGGTTGGGTGGGCTGAGCTAAGGGATAATGGAGAATTTCACTTCTTTCCATATAATTGAGCCTACTCATTAAGGGAGCCTACTCATAAGATGCTTCTTCAAAGGGGTGTTATAAACCACAACTCAGTTTGGGGTTTCATGGCTCAGGGGAGGAGGGTGGCCTTTGTGATCTGCTGGGGAGAGAATCTGGGCGGAAGGCCGGCCTCATTCACATGTGGCGGTAGGTCTCACAGGATGCCTACGGTTTAGGGTTTAGGGTTTAGGGTTTAGGGTTCAGGGTTCAGGGTTTAGGGTTTAGTGCGAATCTGGGCGCAGTCGGCCGTGGGGGCTGCGCTCAGCAAAGCTGCTCATGAACCGGGTTGCTGTGGCAAGCATTGCCATTGCCTGGGATTCACGGCTCACCTTTGCAGATTTTGGGCTATACGGTTTAGGGTGGGGTTGTTTCCCCATTTTCTCACAGTCCTTAAGAGGGATTATAGTGCCCCTATCATAATCCCTATTCAGGACTGTGAGTATAAGGGAACATCCCAAGTTTAGGGTTTAGGGACGCCAAATGCTGAAGGCTGAAACTTAGACCACCTTCTGGGCATTGATGGGCTTCGGCACCTTAAACTAGCACAGGAACCCTAAGCCCTAAACCCTAAGCCCTAAACCCTTCTCAACCCAAACCCCCCCCTCTCCCTCCCTTCCCCCCGAACGCAGAAATCTTGGCGAACAGCAAAGAAGTCGCCTTGGGCTTGCAATGCCTCGAAGTTTGTTTGCGCAATCCCAAACATTCCGGCCAGGCGAGTGCTCTGGAACGCTTTGCCCACGGGTCCTTAAGCTCACTTCTCCAAAACTGAAGTTGTACCACACTGGCTGGGCCCTGCGGTGAGAGGAAGGTTGCAGTCTGACGGGCTGCCATACAGGTGCTCTCGTCTGAAGATTTCCGAAATTTAGGCTGGAATGTTGCGCTCTTCATCGTTGTCCCGACAGGAAGCCCCCCTAAACCCGAAGCCTTAAACCCCAAACCCTCTAAATCTGAACCCTAAACCCTAAACCCTAAACCCTAAACCCTAAACCCTAAACCCTAAACCCCCCCCCCCCCCCCCCCGCCCTTTCACAGTGCTGTGGCTAGCCTCTGCAGGCCATCGACGACCCAGTCAAGCTCAACTCTGGGGAACCTTGAGCCCACGGTTTTTTCGGAACGGGTTTGGGGGATTCTGGGGTTTAGGGTTTAGGGTTTAGGGTTTAGGGTTTGGGGTTTAGGGTTTAGGGTTCAGGGTTCAGGGTTAGGGGTTAGGGGTTTAGGGGGAAGGAGGGGCAGGGCAAGGGGGAAGAGGCAACAGCCGGTGTCGGCACGCGAAGTGTTTCCCTCGGCTAGTCACATTGAACTTCCAGAAAGGGGCACTTGGGGATTCATGGTACTTTTCCCCAAATAATAACTGCATGTACTTATAACCCACTTATCTACAAACCCCTTAAGTCCACCAATGTGCTTGCAATTGGGTTGTAAGTACAGCTTTTTTGGGGGGGTGATCAAGTGTACCATGAACCTCCAAGCACGCGCATAGCTACCACAAGAGCGCAAAGAAATCCCTGCTTCTACAGCTCTGACTTGATCAACTTCCTGGCCTCTGAACCCCCAAACCCCAAACCCCAAACCGCTTCTGAATACGTGGACTTGCCCCTAACCCTCCCCCTTCCCGCCCAAAAAAGTGGACTTGCCCACAAAAAAACACAAAAAAAGCTTACATAAAAAAACCCTAAACCCTAAACCCTAAACCCTAACCCCCCCCCCCCCACACGCAAAAAAACACAAAAAAGACTTATATAGAAACAAAGCTGAGGAAACCATGAGCTGCCAAAGCCTGGAGATCTTCTCCAATCCCCTTCAGAGCTTGGAGGCCCGTAGTCCATGTTTTTTAGGGGTTTAGGGGTTTAGGGGTTTAGGGGTTTAGGGGTTTAGGGGTTTAGGGGTTTAGGGTTTAGGGTTTAGGGTTTAGGGTTTAGGGTTTAGGGTTACTGGGCCCCAGAGTAGGGCCTTATTCCCCTTCATTTTAGGGTTTAGGTTCCCTTATAAGCCCCCGCTTGAAACCAAAAAGGGGCACCCTTTTGATTCCGAGGTTACTCCTCTTCGCTGAGGAGATCCGCGCAAAAAAAGGAAGATATTCCTCTTAGGGTTTAGGGTTTAGGGTTAGAAGCGCATGATAGGCATTGTTATTCTTCTGTTTTTGTTGGGGGGGGGGGGGGGGCAGGGCTTTTCTCCAGCAAATAGTAGTTTAGGGGCCTCTATTTGCACAACATCCCGAGGTTCAGGGCTTTGGGGTTTAGGGTTTAGGGAGGGTTTAGGGTTTAGGGTTTAGGGTGTGCTAAGCCAGACGCGCGGCTGCTTGCTGCCCGCCCGACCCTGCCGGTGTTCGTTGTGCAATTATTGTTTTTGTTTTTTCCTTTTCTCCCCTCTATCATACAAATACATTGCCTTACAATCACAAGTGAGACGACCACGGACCAGAGGTTTGGATCGGTTTACGTCGCGCGGACGTGAAGTTGCAGCCGAAGGATGCAACTGAACTTACGTGCGGATGTTGGACATTATCTCGGTGAGGAAATTCATGGGTCCAGCTTATTACCTTCAGAGCAGGGTCCAGGTTCTATGCAGGGCAAGGGGTTCGTTTTGCGCGAAACGACCGGCTGCCCTGCGGGCTGAAGAGGCCTGGAAGGACCTTCGAAAGAATGGCTGCCGGAAATGGTCTGGGAGAAACCCGAAAAGGTCGAATGACATGAGTGAATGGTATTTGCATATCGGCTTGAGACGACTCCTTGCCGTGCCCAGTCTGCCGAACCCTTGAGCACCAGGGTCCAGATTCTGCCGGGGGGGCCCTGGCTGCCGCCAGAGGACTGTGGTTTCAGGGAGAAGCCTCGGAATTTTGGCTATAGGGAGAAAACCCCAAAAGGTCTAGCAGGAATGGTCCCGAAAATGCTCAGGACAGGTCCGGGAGAAACCGGAAAACTTCTGTTGTAAGATGGAAGGGTACCTAAAACCATCGATTTCAGTACTAAAAAATTTGCATCTTTCATTGCGGGTACGGGCAAAGCCCGGTTGGCACCTCTCCGGACCTTCCTGCACCTTTCCTGGCCCTTCTGGGGTAAATGGAGGGGTACCTAAAACCACCGACTACAAAATCGCATTTTTCATTGCGGGAACGGACAAAGCCAGGGGTCCCCCTCTTTTAGGGGAGCTTTTGAAGCCTTTTGAAGCTTTTTGGTGGTTCTTGGGGCCTGTCGGGGGCTTTCTGGGGCTTTCCTGGCCCTTCTGGGGCAAAATGGAGGGGTGCGGAGGAGAGGCTGCGGCTTCACCCTTTGCAGTGGTGTGTCAGATCGTCGCGAGGCCGCTTCGCGACTAGGTCGCGCTCGCGGCCAAGACTTTAGGGGAGCGCGCCCTAGGGTTGAGGGATTAGGGTTCATGCATGCTGCTTCACTCGCTCGGACCACATGGAAGATTTGCAAGCTGTGGGCCTTCTTACTATTCCCCCCACCCCCCGCCCACACCCAGAAAGCAAACTTACTGAACAAAAAGGGTATATTGCACTCCCCCAAACACACAGACCAGGTAATTGGAGAGCCAGGTAAGCTCCAAAAAACAGCGCTTCAAGCGCTTAACACCCTAAACCCTAAACCCTGAAAACTGCTGGGGGATGGTCCCGATGATGGGCTGGTTCACAGTGCAGTCGTGCTCAGTTGCTCAGACTCCGAAACCCTAAACCCTAAACCCTAAACCCTAAACCCTAAACCCTAAACCCTAAACCCTAAACCCTAAACCCTAAACCCTAAACCCTAAACCCTAAACCCTAAACCCTAAACCCTAGCCCTAAACCCTGAACCCTAAACGCCCAGGGCCAGGCAGTCCTCCCTTCCGTGGCGAAGAGCGAGCTCCCGGTGCTCCTCATTTCAGGCCCGTCGGGGAGACTTTTTTTTTGTTCAGAGGGCTAGGGTTTCGGGGCTAGGGTTTAGGGTTTGGGGTTTAGGGCCTAGGGTCTGGGGTTCAGGGTATAGGGTATAGGGTTTAGGGTTTAGGGTGCAAACTTCCAGGGTTCAGGTAGGTTGGGGGGGGTCTAGGGGTGGTCGGTGACTTCGTGCTTGCCGTGTGCCTGCTGACTCACAACAAAGGATCGTCTGAACAGTAGACTGGGCAGGCCCTTTGGGGCATGTTATATGAGTCTTCCCTTATATTGAGTTGAAGAGGATCATATTTTTAGGAAGATGTCTCGGAGACGTTTAAGGGCCGTCCTAGTATGACAGCAGTATAAGCCCGCAGAGCTGAATGCCTTGGGAGATGCGCCGCCCAAGGGTATGTCCCCCTACCTTCGTTAATGGACTCTGAAGTATGGGCCCTTCCAAACCCAAAACCCCAAACCCTAAATGCATATGAACAACGAGGGACTCCCCTGCAGTGCGATGTGCTACATCAGCTAGGCGGGTGCCAAAACAAATCCATGAAGGGTTCCCAATGAAGGTCCCATACTAAGGGACCATGAAACTACCCTTAGTGTGTAGGATTGTCCAGGCCCACGCCGTGGTTTGGGGTGAGGGTTTCGGGTTTAGGGTTTAGGGTTTATTTAGGGTTTAGGGTGTAGGGTATTTAGGGTTTCGGGCGAGTCAGGGTGGATGTGCGTGACCAGCGCCTCTGCATGCGCTGCCTTCTCGGCGTTGGCAGGCCGGCCCTGAAGGTCAAGGGCTTAGGGTTTTTAGGGTCTAGGGTTTGGGGATAAGGTTCAAAGGGGTGACGAGGGAACTAGGGTCAAGGGTGTACACGGCGTCGTACTCTAAGGAAGCCCAAACCCTCGAACTGCACATTGCAACCCGAAATCCATAATGACATCTGGCGATGCGAAGCGATTTTGGTTTGGCAACGATCACCGCGGTTTAGCTAGGGGCTTAGTGCTTAGGCTTACCGGCTCGTCTTCAGCTTTCAGCTCACCAGAATTTTTGGACGAGGGGCACGTAGACGGGACCCTGATCTTCTTCCCCAAAATAACCCCAAGAAATACCTTATAGAGTGCCTATATACCTACGTAGCCCCTAGATGAACCTTATACTGAACCCCCAAGATTCGTTATAAGTAGCCCCTCCTTCAGTCCCTTGAGTTAAGGGTTTAGGGCTTCAAAGGGCAGAAACCTAGTAGAAGTCCCCACAAGAAGCTCACCCCGCTCCTGTCCCGAGTTGTAGCACCAGTACAGAAGAAGCTGAGGCCATTGCATATAGACTACCCCAAAGAAATCCCCACTATGATTCAAGTAGGCCCCTAGCTAGAAGATGAATTATCCTAGGGCCCCAAACCCTAAGCCCTAAAACCCTGAAGCCAGAAGGGTGGCCAAAACAACCCTAGACCCTAGTAACCCCCAAACCCTAAACCCTAAACCCTAAACCCTAAACCCTAAACCCTAAACCCTAAACCCTAATCCGGCCCCAAAACCCTGAACCCTAAACCCTAAGAGGTAAAAGCTGGCGTCTGCTTATCGGGCCATGGCGTGCCGGCTGGGATGTTTCAATGTGAGGTTTACGGAATAGGGTTCAGGGTTTAGGGTTTCGGGTTTCGAGTTTCGGGTTTAGGGTTTGTTAGGTTTCCGGAACAGGGTTCAGGGCTTCTAGGGTTCAGGGCGTTTAGGGCTTAGGCGTGGTGATGATGTTCATGGCCATGGATTTTCTTCCGCAACGGGGGCTCTATGAAGGGCCTGCAAAGGTTTCAGTTCGCGATTCTGCGAACCGTTTTAGCTTCTTTGGGCACCATGGCGCCAATGTAGACTGCCCTTAACTCAGGGCAGACCCTTATCACTTTTTTAAGGGTTTAGGGTTTCTCAAGGGATGAAGACTCGTACCCCCAAGGTTGTACCCCTAAAGGTTCCCCTTAATATACTCCTAATATGGCCCTTGCATACCCTGAGGGGTCCTTAAACACGGACCCCAAAACCCAAGGGTAAAGCCTTAAGAGTCCAAGGTAGAATGTGTAGAGTTTAGGGTTCCGGGCTACTAGGACCCAGAGTAGGCCCTTCTTCCTTTTCTTAGGGTTTAGGTTCCCCTATGGGCCCCTTTTAAGCCAAAAAAGGGATACCCTGGTTATGGCACACCGGAGGCTCTAAACCCTTATTTTCAACCAAAAGCCCTAAGCCCTAAACCCTACACCCCAGACCCTAGACCCTAGACCCTAGACCCTACACTGCAGGGTTTTTGGGGCTGGGCATAGGGTTGCCGGGCTGAGGGCGTCGCCAGGGATTGAAGCAGAAGCCGCTAATTTTCAGAGGCCATCGCCTGATCCCCACCTTTGAGGGTTTTGTTGGGTATTTTGGGTTTTTTTTGGGGGGGTTTAGGGGTTCAGGGGTGTAGGGGTTTAGTGGTTTTAAGGGTTTGGGGGTTTAGGGTTCTTAGGTTGTAGCTGATGTCAGCTTTACACGATTTGCTCTCGGAAGCCTTGCTGAGGAACCATGGAGGCGTACAGCAGATCAGATACTGCCCCCTGGTTTGCTTAGTAGTAGAGTCGGTCGCCTTTTAACATTATATTTTTGGGAGGGGGGGGGGGTATGATCATCCTAAATCCGAAGCCCTAGACCCTTCTGTTCCACTAGGATCCAGGATAACTAGGTTTGGGGTTGGGGGAGCGAGTTGGAACTTCTCTCCGACGGTCGCAAAACCCAAAACCTAAACCCTAAGCCCTAACGAACATAAACCCTAGCTGGGATCCCTAAACCCTAGACCCCAGACCCTAAAACCTAAAACCCTAAACCCTAAACCTGCCTGTTTTCGACAGCGTCTTTTCTTTTGTGAATCCCTGGTTCGCGAAGGAATGGGCTCCCTTGTACAACAAAGACGGACGAACCCTTATTCCGGTAGGGGTTCGGGTTTAGGGTTCAAAGGGTTTAAAAAGGGTTGAAGAAGGGTTCAAGAGGATTCGAAAGGGTTCAAAAGGGTTTAGGGAACCCTTATTCTGGCAGGGCTGAGGGTTGGGGGTCGAGGGTTTAGGATTTAGGGCATAGGGTTTAGGGTTTATAGGGTATAGACCACCTCTCGTTTAAGGCAAAACCTCGTGCGAGCCAAGGCCGAGAGACCAAGTTTCTGAAGTTTCCCAAGGCGCGCAGGGCGCAGGAGTTAGGGTTTAGGGTTTAGGGCTTATAAGGTTTAGGGTTTAGGGTTTAGGATTTCAAATCTGGGGCTTAGGAGCTGGGATGTGGAGTTCGGGGGTTCTAGCTTTAGGCCATCATCATTCACTTTCTATACTTTTTCTCTCAAGAACCCAACTGGGTCGTAGGGTCCGGGGCCGCGAACCCTAAACCTTAAACCCCACACCTTTCACGGGGCTCTAACTAATCAGGGCTTTAGGGCCGCCTTTTGAAAGAAGCAGGTGGTTTTGGGATTGTTTGACTGAGGGGGGTTATGGCCGAGTTCCGGGCTTTTTTATTGCTCAGGGTGACATGAAGCCGTGCAAGCAGCACCGTGTGATCCTGCGAACAGAACACAAACAGGCTCAGACAGAGGAAGACCCTAAACCCCAGACAGTAGAAAAAACTACACCCGGAGCCTGCATGTCCTTTGGCTCGGCAGAACCCTGCCCTTTGTCGCGTGTAGGAGTTGGCTCCGTGACATTGCGGACGTAGGCTCAGCATGACTTTTGCAAAGTCCTTGGCCAACGCCGCGGTGCAGGAGCGGGCAAGCCGCAATGCCCAAGACGCCCGGATCAGCGAGCGCTGGGTTGCGAGGCAGGTCGCCAGCATCAAATCCAAGTGCGTCGCTGCGAGCAGGCGTTGTGAGTTCTCCGCATCGATCCTGACCGATGCCTTGCCGTCACTGCACCACAAGGAAGGTCAGAAGCAGCTGCTCAACGATCTGCAGGATCGCCTCAGCCAGCTCGGCTTCAGATTGCTGCAGGTTACCCAGGAGGTCTCTGGCGAAGATGCTGGAAAATCGCCTCCTGGGCGGGCCTTCAGTCTCCATCCATGTGCTTCGACTTCGTGCAGGCCCTGCCTACGCTCCTCAAAGGACTGCGCCCACGTGTCCAAGCCAAGCGATTCGCCCCAGAGCTGCAGCCAAGGCCACAGGACGAGAAGCACTGCCAGGCCTGGGGCAAGACCTATCTCTCCAGTGCGGTGCAGAGCTGAGAGGGGCATGCGCAGGCCTTGACTGCTTGTAGCTTTCCCACCCTCATCAGAAAGGGGTTTAGGGCCGGTGGTGATCATGAGAGTCCGCTGCAAAGACAGAGGGTTCTGTACACTGAACAGGGGGGAAGGCGCCGGGCATCTGCAGACATGTCATCCAGTTCCGCATGAGGTTTTCCAACGTCGGACCATGCTTTCGCCACTATGGGTTGAGGGTTTGACGCAGGGCGCGGAAAAAATGGGCGCAAGGGGGGGATGGAAGCAGCATGGACCGACGCGGAACTGGATGTCCACATGCAGCCAGGTTGCAGAATTCGACTTTCCAATCCACCTCCCTGGACTCAGTTTAACTCCGTTCCTACAGCTGGCCATGCTTCCCAGAACCCTAAACCCTAAACCCTAAACCCTGAACCCTGAACCCTGAGCCCTGAACCCGGTATCCTCATTTATCCTTCGTAAGGTGGGACTCTGGGTTTCAGAGGCATGGTCCTCTTGCAGCGGCCCATGGCCTTTGCAGTCGCAGCTGCAAGCTGCTGCAGGCCAGGAGGCACATTGGTTTAGGGTTTAGGGTTTAGGGTTTAGGGTTTAGGGTTTAGGGTTTAGTGAAGAAGGAAGCCCACAACAGAGATGGGCTGAGAGCGGAAAACAGCTGTGAATGGCAAAGTTTTCCCCGCGCCCAGATGAGGCCGACTCGCCGCGGCGCGCTCAGAAGAAGCTGGCTGCTGTGGCTTGTGCGCTTGAGGTCTCACAGACACCTAGAAAGTATCTTTCGGTTATGAAGTGGACAAGACCGCACATATTTCGTATACCTGCCCATGAGCCCTCAAGACATCCGTCAATGCTTTGCTTTGCACAAGGCAGCCCTTCTGGCTGCCTGGGAGTGCAAAATCCGTGATCATGGAGCATGTGTGCGGCAGGGCGCACGGCGATGATTCATCAGGATTTGAGGACTTTAGGATTTCAGGTTTAGGGTTTTGGGGGGTTTTAGGGTTTTAGGGTTTAGTCTGGGTTCAAAAAGGGTTTAGGGAGTTCAGTCCTGTCGACCACGATATTCGGCGACCTCGTCGGTGCGCCAAAACTTGTTTGCGGGTCTCACCTCAGAATTGCTCCCTCAGTGGGCCTCTGCTTGGAGGTTCATGGCACTTAATGACCCAAGCGTTTAGGGTTGAGGGTTTAGGGTTTAGGGTTACTTGGAGGTTCAGGGCACTTAATGACCCAATTCTATCTGTACTCATAGCCCATTTATAACCACATTAGGGCGCTTAAGGGGCTTGAAAGTGGGTTGTAAGTACTGTTGTAATGTGTTGTAATTGGGTTATAGCCACCATGAACCTCCAAGTAGAGGCATAGCTTGCGCAGCGTCTGCGTAGAATCGCTCCAATCGGCTTGGTTTTTCCCCCGGCTGGTGAGCAACAAAAAACCGATTCACTCCTTGAGGATCTTGACAACGGGCCCTCAAACCCAAGAGTACAACCTTACCCTCAAACCCAAGAGTACAACCTTAGGGGTTTAAAACCCTAAGGCCCTCAAACCCAAGAGTACAACCTTAGGGGTTTAAACCCTAAAGCCTAAACCCTAAGCCCTACAATCCCATGGCTAGAGGAATCCTGCGGGCATGGGGAGTCGAAGCCCCAAGCCCCTGATCGTCTTGCGAGCTCCAACACGTGCTTCAGCAAGAAGTGGGGGGGGGATAGTCTACAGCATGAGTCAGTCTTAGGGATGCTCGGAAATATATATATATATATATATATTTTTTTTTTGTTTTTGGTTTTTTATTCCGAGGCTTCCAAGTTCAGTAGAGGAGTTTCAGGTCAACCATCTAAGCCATCCTAGGAAGACTTGCGTTCTTTCAATCACCTGGGAAACCTTACAAGCGTCACGGTACTTCTTCCCCACCTGTGTACAAGGCCTTTACCTCAAGTTTGGTCATTGTGAACTTAGGAGCCCAATAGGTGAACTTTAAACTTTTTGGGTATACTAAACCCCTACTAAAAGAAAAGTTTAAACTTTTTTGGGCCAGGGTATTGGGCAACTAAGCTAAAAACCCTGAACCCAGACTCTGCTCAACAGGTCAGTGAGTTCTACTGCCCCCCTCAGGCAGCCATACAATAGAAGGTACAGGTGGCCAGAACTGCAGGACATGGAAGCTTGCAAGCGTTGTTGCGCTTGTTGGGGGTCTATGGCTTGGGCCATGACGCTTGGCAGGCGGAGGCAGTGAATGAGTTCCTGCTGCACCACCTCTCCACGCAGAAGAACGCAGCTCGCACGCGCTACTGAACAGGGCAGGCCTTTGAGATGTTCCTTAAACCCGAAGCCCTAAGAGGATGTCATTGTCAGGAAGATGCTTCAGATAGTTTGAAAAAGGGCCAGGCGCGGTCCACCTAGGAAATGCAGTGCATGATTGCTTCGAAACCGGGCGATTTGGAGTTTGGGGTTCCGGTACAAAGGGGGTCTGCAATTCCTGTAGCCACAGTTCGATGGGCAAGGAGGATCCCAAATTTCTTGACAAGAAACTTTACAAAGAGAATTACCATGAGAGGGAGTTGATGGCAAGTATTATTCGTATGAACTTATGGTACTTTAGTACCGGTATTCCGTGGATATATCAAGCCTGACACCCTAGACCTCAAACCCTTGCAGGTTCATGGGTAGTTACAAGTGGGGTTATAAGCGGGCTATCTATACTTATAGCCGCTTTTATAACCTTATTTAGGGTACTTATAACCCTACTTATACCTACCCATGAACCTTCAAAATGAAGTCTGAGAACTTGTCCAAGACGCGTAGGCTGGGCGAAACGGAAGGTGGCAGCACGAACAAGCAAAACGCTGTAGCCGCAACGAGCAGCGACGATGATACTCATGCTAATGGCAATCAGAGCACAGGGCTTTCTGTGACGTCTTTTGCGCGCGCGCGCGCGCGCGTCTCGCAAAATGTATGACGACGTTTGTCAAACCCTGTAAACCTCTCGAGGTGGGCCCTTGGGATATTACGGTTCAGGGTTTGCGGGGTTTAGGGTTCTGTTCTATATTTGCCTCTTATTGTGTTTAAGGAAATCATGGTTTAGGAATGTGTTTCAGAGGGTTTTAAGTTTCGTCCCAGAAACAGCCCGTGGCACTCGCCCCAAACCCTAAACCCTAAACCCTAAACCCTAAACCCTAAACCCTAAACCCTAAACCCTAAACCCTAAACCCTAAACCCTACACAGCCCTGGCACTCCAGCGGCAAGATCACCCTGAATCCTGATGAGGTGGCGCCACCTGCGTGGCTGGCCTCAGAGCAGCCCGAGGCACAGGTTTTGGTGCAAAAAGGGTTCAGGGGTGTAGGGGTTAGGGATTCGGGAGTTTAGGGTTTAGGGTTTAGGGTTTAGGGTTTAGGGTCTAGGGTCTAGGGTCTAGGGTCTAGGGTCTAGGGTCTAGGGTCTAGGGTCTAGGGTCTAGGGTTTAGGGTTTAGGGTTTGGGGCCCTTGGCGTGTTTCGTGAGGTTCGTTGTGGCTTTCAGGGCCACCGGGTTTCAAGTCTTCGGGCTCCAGGGTTTTAGGATGTGGGGTTTTAGGGTTCGAGAGAGAGGGGTTCGGGTTTAGGGTGGGCTGCAGGACGTTGGGGTTTGGGTTCGAAAGCCTGCTATTTGCTGGGAACTTGGAGTTCGGAGTTTGTTTTTAGAAGATTCAGAGTATGTTTCGGGTGAACTCGGATAGTTTGGCCGAGCGCTTGGGAGGATTGGTTTGGACTAAACGCTTCACATACCCTGAGCCCCCAAATCCCAAGCTCAACAGGTTTTAGGAGAGCCCCTAGGAAAAATTTGAAATGCTACCCTGAAAACATCTGAAACCCTGAACCATGGCAACCCCAGGAGCGGTAAAAGTAAACAAGAACCCTCGCAGCCGCAAAACGGTGCGAGGCGTTTTCGGCCTTCTTGGTGGTTCGCAGAGAGAGAGAGAGAGAGAGAGAGAGAGGTAGAAAGACACTAAGGACAGGCGTGGGTGGCTGGAAGTCTCCCCTGTCGGGGGAAGCCCATATTTCACCAACAGTGGGACGCGTTGACCGGACTGGGCGCTCCCGCGCACGTGGAGGGAGAAAGACAGAGAGACAGAGTGACAGAGAGACAGAGAGCCCGGCAGAAGAAGAAGACAGAGAAAGAGTGAGAGAGAGAGAGAGAGATCTCTCGCGCGAGAGATCTCCCTCTCTCCCTTTGTTGTTTTTGTCGTTGTTTTTCTTTTCTTTTCTCTCTCTCCCTCGCTCTCCTCTCCTGCTCTATAAACACTCAGTACTAGCAACCCTAAACCCCAAACCCTAAACCTTAAACCCGAAGCCCCAAGAGTGAATCTCCAGGCACACTTCTACGTGTGCGGCGCCAAGCCCGCCTGGCAACACAGCACCTCCTGGCCCCCGCAGAACGACGCCCGGCCAGATGCGTGAAAAGGAAAACTGCGTTTAGCGTTTAGGGTTTAGAGCTTAGGGTTTAGGGTTTAGGGTTTAGGGTATAGGGTTCAGGGTTTAGGGTTTAGGGCTACTACTCTAGGGGTTTAGGTCTTCGGGTTCATACCTAGGGTCTACATGCGAGACCTTGAGGCAGCTCTCGAACTCATGCTCCTCCTGGAGCCAGGCTAACATGGGAATCCCCGAAAGGACCATAAGTTAGGGATTAGGGTTTAGGGTTTAGGGTTCGGGGTTCGGGGTTTGGGGTTTAGGGCTTAGGGCTTAGGGCTCGAAATTGCCCAAAAGGGACGAGTGCACAATAAGTGCCACTGAGATGAAGGCACTAGCGAGGACCCTTATTCTTGGTTTCTTAGGGTTGAGGTTTTCTATAAGCCCCTGTTTCTTATCAAACAGGGCACCCCTCTTTCATCCTAGGTTACTCTTGGCACTAAACCTAAAACCCCAAACCCTAAACCCTAAACACTAAACACTAAACACTAAACACTAAACCCAAACTCCAAACCCGGCATGCTCGTGCAATCTTCGGAGGTTCTCCCAGGCCGAGGCAGTTTTTAGGCTTCTAGCTGGGGATGTGGAGTTTAGGGCTTGAGGGTGGGGTTTAGGGTGTAGGGTTTCGGGTTCAGGCACGGTTTGGGGCCAGTTTGGGGCTTTGGGTTTAGCGTTTTTAGGGTTTCGGGTTTAGGGTTTCGTGTGGAACTTGGTTCCCTGATGGCCGTGACCACGGCCCGAATGAAAGCGCGCTGCTTCAGTAGACAAAACCCGAAGCCCTAGCCCTTGAAACGCCGTGGGCTTTTACACAACCTAAGCCCTGAACCCGAAGCCCTAAACCCACGGGGCTTTCTTTTTCTCGGTTGTGGCGCACGCAGGATTCCGGGGTCCGGGGCGTCATTGAGCTGGCTTCTTCCGGCATACTCCGCATGGCCCCGTACCTTTTGTGGAGTCTAGGTAGGGTTTAGGGTTTAGACGTCAGGCAGTTAGGGCTTAGAACTTGAGGCCCTTGGGGTATTTCATGGTTACCCCTGTGGGGTTTAGGAGGCTTCAGACTTCGGAAGATTGTCTCAGAGATGTTTTCAAGCCAACGGGGTAAACCCTGACCCCCGCACCCTAAACCCTAAACCCTAAACCCTAAACCCTAAACCTTAATTCCCTGAACCCAAGGTGGCCAAGAAGCCGCTGTGGCTCTCCAAGTCGCGCGAGCTCTCGTGGACGAAGCCTGTCCACGACGAGAGCGACGGCGGAGCTCCTGAGAATCCCTAAGGGTTTAGGGTCTGTAGGGTTTAGGGTTTAGGGTCTGGGGTGTAGGGTCTGGGGTTTAGGGTTTCGGGTTTAGGACGTAGGGTCTAGGGTCTAGGGTTTAGGGTTTCGCGTTTAGGTTTAGGGTTTAGGGTTTAGGGTTATCCTCCAGGCTTTCAGGGTTACCCGTTCCATATGGGTGCCCGTATGAGGGTTGCCCTGCAAAAACCTTTTAGGGGGTACGACCTTACGGGTACAACCCTTGATATACCCCCAAAACCCTAGCCCCTTGCGAGCTTTGTAGGGGGAGGCGGGGGGTGGGTCAATTTGATACCCTAAGCCCTAAACCCTAGACCCTTCCATGCGTCACCGATAACTTTCCCAAGATTCAAGAAAGATGTGCTGGGGACCCTGGGTGGATGGTTTTACTCTCTCTCTCTCTCTCTCTTCTTGTTCAAGAGGGTTCAGGGTTTAGGGTTTAGGGTTTAGGGTTTAGGGTTTAGGGTTTAGGGTTTAGGGTATAGTTTTTTTTTGTGCAGGGGGCTTTAGGGTTTAGGGGTTGTGCAAAACCGGGCTCTGGTTGCGACTGACCGGGTTCAGAGACGAGCGTTTTAAGGTTTGGACCTTTGTCTGCTACTTGCTTAAGACCCCACGAAAGATAGTGAACATTCTTGATCAGAAGGGTCATATAGAGATTCATGACTTCTTCTGGAGGCTTCTTAAGCATACAGTAGTTGTTACTGGAGCTGCATAGGCCTATTTCCTACCCCGCAAGCATTTTAGGCCCGTGAATGCAAGACTCTGACAAACGCTGTTGCTTTCTCAAAGCCCATGAACCCTTGTCACTGTAAACCGACGTCGCTAAACCCCTAAACCCTAAACCCTAAACCCTAAACCCTAAAACACCCTAAGCCTGCAAACCACTAAATCCCCTCAACAAACCCTAAACAGACCTGAGCCAGCAAACCTCTAAACCCTAACACTAAACCCATACAACCCCTATACTACCATTTGCTTGAGAACCACACAGAAATTCACTTTCTTATAAGGGCAGTATAGGGATTAGTCCTCTTTGTCTTTGGGAGTTCTTCAGCAAATAGTTCCTGAAATTCACCGAAAAACCCGTAGACCCTAACCTGCAAACCCTACACTAGCCAACCGCTAGCCTAATCCTATACCTGCAAACCCCTGAACCTTAAGTCAAATCCTAAGCTAGTAGCCCTAAACCCTAAACCCTAAACCCTAAACCCTAAATCCTAAACTAGTCGAAGGAGCCTCACAGCTCCCCGTGGCCACTGGCCAGGCGCCCGCCGGGGGGGGCGGGGGGGTTGCTTTTTCTGGAGCCCTTCAGGGGTTTATGGTTTAAGGATTTTTGGGTTTAGGGGTTAGGGTTTAGGGTTTAGGGATAGTCCGTTGCTCACAAAAGGCTTGTGCCCATAATTTCTTGACGGGCTTCGAGTTTCAGGCTTTCGTAGGGTAGGGCTTTGAGGCTTGAGACTGCATTTGAAGCGCGGCTTTACGACACTGATACCAGGATGTCCAGTGGTTCCCTGTTTTGGGGGGGTTTAGGTTCCCTGATAAACCGCTCTTAAACAAACGGGGGGTACTGGGCAATCTAGGATAGTAAGATTTATCCAACCACGCCATTGCTCAGCACAAGAGGGATCTGCTGCGGTCTCATATCGGGTACTAGTAGGAAATTGTCGGGGGTGCAGTATAGCAAGAAGTGGTTCATGGTGCCTAATGACCCACTTTGAACTGTACCTCTAACCCAATGTTCACCACCTTAGGGCACTTTTTAGGGGCTTATAAGTGGGTGATACGTGCTGTTAGAATTCTTAGGAGCCCAATAGGTGAACTTTAAACTTTTTGGGTATACTAAACCCCTACTAAAAGAAAAGTTTAAACTTTTTTGGGCCAGGGTATTGGGCAACTAAGAATTAGGTTATAAGCACCATGAACCTCCAAGCATCTTAAACCTTTGACTTCTGCGGTTCATACCAGACTGACCCTGCGCTGCACTCGAGGCTTCAGGGTTTAGGGTTTAGGGTTTAGGGTTTAGGGTTTAGGGTTTAGGGTTTAGGGTTTAGGGTTTGGGGTTTAGGGTTTAGGGTTTAGGGTTTAGGGTTTAGGGTTTAGGGTTTACTTAACACCGTTTGCTCCCTGTGGTTTGGGTTCAGGGCAGGGCCAAGCAAGGCTGGGTTTTAAAGTTGTTCAGAGTTGGGAGTTTGCACGTTGCCTCTTTGAATTCCAGATGTCGGGCCTGAGCGATCAGATGTTGGGCTTAGGGTGATTGCACGTCGCTTTCTATTTTTCTCTAGCTTCTGCAAGGTCGAGTTTGCTGCAGCCAGGCTTTCGGTAAACCCTAAGCCTAAACGTTGCTGCGTTCAGGTCTGTCATGGACTGGATGGCAGGATTTTGGATGTTGGATGGCATGTGGGATTGTAGAGCAATCTGGTTTGCGGGCTGCGCGGTTCGGAGCTCTAAGTTCCTAAGTTCAGCAAGCTGACGCCAAAACATCTTGCGATGTGCACGCACACGGGAACGTGTCCTCATTAGTCGTTAGCGAGCAACAGATCGTATTTTGCTGCCAGCCAGGCGCACCTCGTGTGGGGCGGTGTGTCTCGGTATAACGCCATGATCAAGATGATGGAGCCTCGCCAAGAAATGTGGGGCCTTTGAACCCTAAACCCTAAACCATTTTCGCTTTGGACTCAAGGGGGTCACATCTCGAAATATGTTTCAGAGGGATAGAAAGGGCCGTCCTAAACCCTAACCCTAAAACCTGCAGTAGCGTGTGTCGTGCCCTGCAGTGCGTCTCTCTGAGTCAGTGAGGTGGGTGGCAATAAAAAATCAAAACTAAACCCGAAGCCCTAACCCTAAACCCTAAACCCTAAACCCCTGAAACCGACCTGTTTCTTCATGCCGACTCAGGATCTGGTGAAGTACCAGTGGAAGCAGCTGGGAGCTTAGACATCCGCACACATCACACGCACTGATGCTCCTCGTGGAGGGGCAAACCTTGGTAGTATAGGGCTTAGGGTTTACAGAGTATATAGGGTCTTAGGCTTTAGAGGAGGCGAGATCCACCTGCAAAAGGGTTGAGGTGCAGCCTTTGCTGCCTGGAGAGAGTTGAGGGTGTTCCCCGTTCAGGCGCTTCTGGGTCCTGGGGTTTAGGGGGTAGGGTTTAGGGTTTAGGGTTTAGGGTTTAGGGTTTAGGGTTTAGGGTTTAGGGTTTAGGGTTATGGCTCAAGGCTACGAGACTCAAATGAGTACCCCAATTCGGATCTTTCGCACGCCCTTGCTGCCATGATTCCAGACACGGGACGCAAACTGTCTTCATGCATTGCTTACGCGGGCAGACTTTCCAAGCGTGAGGGATATGAGTGCGTGTCCGGCTATCTTCGGCAAGCTTTGTTTGCACTGGTTGCTGACATCAAGGCGAGGCCTGGACCAGATGAAGTCAGTGAAGATGGGAACATGAGATGTAAAATACGCTTGGTTCAAGAACTTGGCCTTGAAATGGAGTCTGTTGACCAGGCTGCAGGTGACTCCTTCTCTACCCGACTTGGCGCGGTGTCTACGCAGGATGGCATCTCTCAGACGGATGTTGACATTATTACCAGGCCTGTGTGCGAGCGCTTGATGGAGGAGATGGCGCGAAGCTGTGAAGCCAAGCTGCTGCACATGGCACAGCTACTGCAGACTCAGAAGGCCCTTGTTCTGGAGCTTCGTGAACGCGTCCTTACCTTGACTGCTTCTGACAAGACTCCTATGGATGATGCAGTTCCTCTGCTCCCTTGCAAGCCACATGCTTCTTCGTGTTCGGGTCTTGCGGATGCTGCTGCTTCTGCAGCTCAGTTCGGGGATGGTATGCACGAGCCACTGCAGGATGTTCTATCCCTGTCGGAGATCAAACAGGAGCACGCGCGGAAAAGGAGGGAGGCCAAGGCAAAAAGAAGACAGGAACGTCATGAGCGCTTGGTGCAAAATTCGAGCGAGTAGCATGGACAGCTTGCTTCCACGCCTCGGAGCATGTTTTTGCCGTACTGCTGTCAGTTGTGGCAGTCATAACGACAGTGTGTGATAGTGTGTGTGTGTGTGTCCTCGGCTGAAGAACAGCGGAGGAGGCAGTCCCAGCAAGCTTGTCCGAGACTGGGTTCAAAAGGGCTTAGGGCTTAGGGCTTAGGGTTTAGGGTTTAGGGTTTAGCAAACCCCAAACCCTGAACCCAAAGCCAAAATCAAGCACCGACTTGGCCTAGGTCGGCAGTTGATTCCGGCAAGGCGCTGTTGTTCGAGTGCCTTCGCCGCACAGTTCTCTGAGATGTTTCGGGCTCCCCGAAATCCTAAACCCTCCCGAAACCCAAAACCCTAAACCCTAAACCCTAAACCATGATAAACCTTTTCGGAGCGTTGGCAGCACCAGCGTCTGAAGCTGGCCCACGGCAACGGGGTTAGGGACGCAGGCCGTAGCTGGCGACTTCAAGCGGTGGCTGAACTTACAGTGTCAGTGTGGCGGGTCTAGAGGGCCGGGTGATTGTACCACATTGGGCAAAACGCGGGCCTGAGTTGCGCGTGGTACTCATTGGCCTATCACCTTGGAGGTCTGGAAATGTTGAGGGAGGGCCACAAAAGACTGGCTGCCGAAGCCGCGGACTAGGTGTTCGAACTGGGCAATCGCACCAAAGACGTGGCGGCATGTGCCGCGATTGTCTCAGCATCAGTGGAGACAGGGTTTAGGGTTTAGGGTTTAAACCCGGGATGAGATACCTGGTGCTGCCTGGGCACATTTGGCGTACATGGCGGGGAGGGCTGTCCGTCTCAATGGGCCCTTCATCCAGTAAACCCTAAACCCTAAACCCTTTGTTATAGAACCCTTATGTACACTGTACAGGATCAGGGCCCATACTTCGGATCCCTAGCAACAAGGGCACGGGACCCCACTAAGGGCCCATGTGGTTCCAACCTTAGACATAACCCTGAATCCTAAACCCTATACCCCTAAACCTAAACCCCAAACCCTAAACACTGCAGGCCCATCTGCTTCCCTGACACAACTCACGCAGCGGAAGCTTTTTCGGGTTCTTAAGGGAGGGGGGTTCAAGGGGGTAGTTCCCTAATACTCCCTAAGGCACCCTAAGCTTCCCTAAGGTTCCCTACCTACCCTAAGCCCTAAGCCCTAAACCCTAAACCCTAAACCCTAAACCCTAAACCCTAAACCCAATACCCCCCTTGAACCCCCCTCCCTTAAGAACCCGATAAAAGCTCCCAGGACCCCGGCCCTGGCTGCTCCCGTGGCCATGCTGGGCGATTCGGCGGAGTGTTTTAGGGGGTTTTAGGGTTTTAGGGTTTAGGGTTTGGAGTAAAGGTTTTTAGAGTTTTAGGGTTTTTAGGGTTTGGGGTTTAAGGTGGAGCGAGTTTTGGGGTTTTGGGGTTTGTAGTCCGGTTTCACAAAGGTTTGTTGAAAGGTTTAAAACGGTTTTGTTGAAAGGTTCTTTTGTCTAAGGGCCGTGGTCTTTTGTTAATTTTCAGGCTGTGTTGTTTTTTGGATTTAGGGTTGTTTTGTTGTTTTTGCTATGTTTGTATTCAGGTTGTTTGGCGTTTCAGGGTTGTAGCTTTGGGTTTTTGAGAGTTCCAGGGCTTTGGGAGTTGTAACGTTTCATTTACGTGGATAAGGGCTTTGGTCTGGAGTTGTTAAGGGTGCTTTTCTCGTTGTCTTTGGTTGTTTTATGTCGTCAGCTCCTACGTGACTGTGAGTGTTTTTGCGCCTTAAGTTTTTGTGCTCTAAGCCCTATAAACCCAAGGCCTCCAGCGCAAACAGCCCCGAACTCCGAAAGCCCAAACCTTTAACCCTAAACCCTAAACCCTAATAAGCCCTAGTCTAAGGGTAGTTTCGTGGTCCCTTGATGTGGTCCTAAACCCTAAACCCTAACCCGTCTCTTATTTTCTTTAGAAGGATCTGAAGTACGGGCTCTTGGGTCTTTTAGGATACATAAGGCGTAAGGGTTCCCCATTTAAGGGCCATGTAACTACACTAAACCCGCAACCCTAAACCCTCCACCCCTGAAGCCTAAGCCCGGAACCCTGAACCCTAGACCCTAGACCGTAGACCCTAGACCCTGCCCCCCAGGCTCGCCGGTGCTGTCGCTGCGCCTCCGGGGCGCTGGCGACGAGGCCTCCGGGAACCCTTTCCGAACGGAAGGAACAACCATGTAGAGTTAGGGTTTAGGGTTTAGGGTTTAGGGTTTAGGGTTTAGGGTTTGGGGTTTGGGGTTTAGGGTTTAGGGTTTAGGGTTGGCGTGCTTGAAGCTACCGAAGCTTGTGATGACCCGAGGCTGGTTTGGAGCTTAATACCGGCTTCAACAGCGTTTGCTGGCCTTTGCATAGGCTTTAGGGTTTAGGATTTAGGGTTTAGGGCTTAGGGTTAGGGTTCAGGGTTTAGTGGCTTGAGGGCTTTCAGAATTTTCAGCGCGTTAGGCCTGCGAAGTAAAGGGCTTAAGGGTTTAAGTTTGGTGTGGGGTTGTTTTAGCTTGCCAGCCTCGCTCCAAACAGTCTATACCAGTTCCCTTGTGGGGTACCACGACAATATTTAGGGTACCCGAAAAGGGACCAGAACTGACCATGCTCAGCGAGGCAGACAATGTTGGTGTGGCGGCTCCCCCTGATATTAAAACACCCCTAATATAAAAACAAGACAACTGTCCCCAACAACCACGGTAAAATGTAGCCGCCCCTTTTGTTCCACCTGAAGCCCTAACCCTTGAGTCTGAAAGCACCAGCACGGCTCGATGACTGAGCCAGCAAGCTAGAAGGACGGGCAGTTTCAGTCCCACAACACTAAAACGCTTTGGGATTTTTCCGGGGTTCTTGTACAAGGAGTGGGGCGGAGGGGATGGGGAAGGGATTAGAGTCTCTGCTACGTGCCTCCAACAGCCCTCTTTGTGACAAAGGGGCTCGGGGGCGTTACGTGTTGACAGGATGCCGACGTCTTCGCCTACCTCTGCGAGCGCCCCCCTGATGGCGGCGATCTCGTCTACGTGACAGAAGGCAACTAGACAATATGGCTCCAGCCCTCAACCCTACACCCTAAACAAAGCCTAACATGCCAAACTCTAAGCCGTAAAAGTGCAAAGGCCGACCCTAAACCCCTGAAAGGCCATTAATACCTTGAGCCCTCAGACCCGAAACCCGGCATGACTAAAACCCTAAGCCCTGAAGCCTTGTAGCCCTGAACCCCAAGCCCTGAGCCCTCAACCCTCAAGCCGAGCCTAAAGCCCTAAAGCCCCAAACAACACTAAGGCCCCAGGCTGACAGAGGTTCCCGCTTTCAACCCACGGTGCTCATACATCTGCTGGGATTCCATCCTGGACCCTTCTTTTTTAAAACCAGGCTAGGCTTTTTGGGGTTTCGGGGCTGCGCAGTCCTGGTTGTAAAAGGGTTTCAGGGCTTAGGGTGTAGCGTTCAGTATCTAGGGTGCTGGCAAAGGTCGTTTTCGAACCGAAGATGTCGAGAGGCAAATGAAAAGGTTCTGGTGTGAGACCTGCCGATACTCCTAACATGGCCCTAACATTCCCTGGGAGGATCTTGAAAAAAGGGTCCCCAAACCCCTAAACCCTAAACCCATCTTACCCTAAACCCTAAACCCTAAACCCTAAACCCTTGGGGTGCAACCTTAGGGGGCCCAAGGTAGAATCCCACCATATCGTTCCCACACAGCGCATGTCAGAGCAGCGATGACAGAGCCCCGCAAAGCCTTAGCCCGAAACAGTCAGCTAGGCGAGTGGACAAAACACGTCCCAGGCATTCTCAGACTTTCCAAGCGAAAGGAGGAGGACGCACCCGACCACGAGAAGGCCGTTTATGACGGGATGTTGCTTTTATTTGGTGTTTACGGGTTTAGGGTCCTTAAATACGCCTGAAAAGGCCTTGAAGCCCTACACCCTTGAACCCTCAAATCCTCACATCCTTCATCTAACCTTAACCCAAGCCCCAAGTGCCTTAAACTGTGAACCCTTCAAGCCCTAAGCCCCAAACCCCAAACCCTAGGCCCTAAACCCCCTAATCCCTGAACCCTAAGCCCTAGTATACTAATAAACCCTAACCCCCTAAACCCTGAACCCTAAACCCTAAACCCTAAACCCCTGAAAGCTCCCAAGAAGCCACACTTAGAGGCCGCCGATCCGGACCGATCGCGCTGCGGAAACAGCGCGAAGGCCGCACGGCACCACTCTGCGGGCTTTTGGCTTTTGTGTGTTTTTGGGGGGTTTAGGGTTTAGGGTTTAGGGTTTAGGGTTTAGGGCTTAGGGTTTAGGGTTTAGGGTTTAGGGCTTAGGGCTTAGGGTTTAGGGTTTAGGGTTTAGGGCCGGCTTAGGGCTGTTTGGGCCTTTAGGGTTTGGATGTCTTGGATTTGTGTTTTGTTCAGCAAGGGGCACCTTGCTGTGCACCTGCTTTCTGAAGGTTGAGTGAACTGTGATGTGTTTAGGCTTTGTGCAGGGCAGTTGTCTCCTATTGCAATTGAGTGTAGCACAGACACTCTACACCCTGAGCCCTGAATCCGGAACCCTGAACCCTGAAACCTACACCCTAAACCCTAAACCCTAAACCCTATATAAACCTTGGAGCAGACTCTAAGAACCCCAACCTTAAACGCCACATCCTACACCCAGCTACACTTTAGGGTTTAGGGTTTAGCCTCAGACCTGGCATGAAGCAGCTTCCAGGTTCAAGAAGGGTTTAGGGTTCAGGGTTTTATTCATTGGGGTTTAGGGTTCAGGGTATGCCCTAAACCCCAAACCCCAAACCCCAAACCCCAAACCCCAAACCCTAAACCCTAAACCTAAACCTCAATGAGGGCGCCGGGGCCCTTTCGGGAATCGTGCCCAGGCCGCCGAGATCGATGCGGGCTTTGTGCCTCATCACAGCTACAGGCACGGTGTAAGGGTTAGGGCCCTGACCTTTCGGGGTTGAGGAACCCTAAACCCCAATCCCTAAACCCTAATCCCTGAGCCCTGAACCCTAAACCCTAAACCCCAGTCCCTAAACCCGAAACCCTGAACCCTAATCCCTAGTCCCTAAACCTTCTGGGGAGGAGGACGCTGTGGGAACCTATTCTTGAAATCTTGAACGACGCTGCTCTGAAGCATTCCTTTCGGTTAAGGAAACATTGAATCTCAAGGGTTCGCTTTACGGCCCGGGACACAGGAATACTGTGACCAGGTACATTTGTTACGGGCCGACTCCATAAACATATCCGTGGACGGACATGGGAATACTGTGAGCCGATGTCTTCAATCGGCTCGGGGCATAGGAATCCTGTGACCAGATAAGTTATTCTCTATACTGGCTCCTCTTCTGAAACCCTAAACCCTAAGCCCTCAGCCCTAAACCCTAAACCCTAAACCCTAAACCCTAAACCCTAAACCCTAAACCCTAAACCCTAAACCCTAAACCCTAAACCCTAAACCCTAAACCCTTAGCCTTAAAGGGGTTGAGGGCGCCTTTCAGAAGGCCCCCAAAGGCCCTAAACCCACGACCCTGAATCCGAGAGCCCTAACAAAAAGTTTAGGGCTTAGGGTTAAACCCAGACCCCTACACTCCAATTGTGGGTTTTTTTGGGGATTTTCAGGGAGGGAAGAATCCCCTGAACCCTATCAACCCTTCTGAGTCCTTGTACGCCCTAAAAGCCCTTTGTGGACTTCAGCCGCTCAGGGCCTAGGACCTCTATGCTCTGGCTCAGGGGGGTTTAGGGTTTAGGACTAGGGTTTAGGGTTCGGAACTTGTGGTTAAACTTTCCTGAAACCTAAACCCTTGAAGGCTTAGGGCGAGCCGGCGAGAGCCCTGAGCCCAGCAGGAGCAGTTGAAGGCTCATGGGCAGTTATACGTAATTAGGGTTATAAGTACCCTAAATAAGGTGATAACCAGATGTAAGTACAGCTACCCTAGACCGACCCTAGACCCTAAACCCTAGACCCTAGACCTTAAACCCTAGACCCTAGACCATAGACCCTAAACCCTAAACCCTAAACCCGAAGCTAACTACTCATGAACCTCCAAGCATTCCTTGGCACAGGCGCGAGGACATTGAGATGCTTCCCGCTGCAGGCCCTGCTGGGAAGCCGCCTTGATTTTCTTCAAACCGTCGCTTGAGGGGTTTTAGGGTTCAGGGTTTTGGGTTAGGGTTTAGGATCGAGGTTTTTTGGATTTAGGGTGTCGCTTTGTTCACGCAGTGGGTCTTTGGTCCTTGGTCCTTGGGCTGTTCCTTGCAGAGTCGTTTGCAGGCCAGTTGCAAAAGGGCTCAGGATTTAGGGTTTGGGGGGCATCAAGTGCACCGATCAAGAATGTCGGCCTTGAGAGCCATCTTTCTCAAGTCCTCTGTGCTTTTGTTCAGAAGTTTGGCTATATGTGGCATTTGGGCTTTTCAGTTGACGAGCCCTGTAGATATGATATGCCGAAATACATATGAGCAACCTCACTGACCCATAAAACCAGCATACGCCCCACAGCCAAACCCTCCCCATCATGTCTTTCCGCCACAGGGATTGTGTCTGTTAAAGAAGCGTTTGTTCAGACCTAAGCCCGGAGCCCTTTGAAATCCTAACGTGAGGGTGCACTTGTAGTACAGTTATGCACTTAGGTACCCGGCACCTTTTCTTCGTTATTTCGTATGGTTTTTGGGGAACCTAATTCCATACAAGCACTACAACTGGACCCTCTGGGCCGTCGCCCGCTGACGTGAGCCGAAGCCCTCAACCCTCGACCCCTACTGTGCCCTGGCATCCCAGCGGTGCCCTTTTGGCCCCTTTTTTTTGCGGGGGGGGGGTGGGGGTTCAAGGTTCCCTTATCAAGGAAACCACCCCCAAAAAGGGCTTTAGGGTTCAGGGTTTAGGTTTAGGGTTCAGGGTTCAGGGTTTAGGGTTCGGGGATTGGGGATTGGGAACTGGGATGCCAAGCTGTGCTCTTCGTCACCCGTGGAGAGGCGGCCTGACCACCGCGCGCCTGAAGATGTTTGCCGCCGCTTATCGATTCCGCCCCGCGCTTTGCGATTCGGGGGTTTGGGGGTTTAGGTAGGGTGCGGGGTTTAGGGTTTGGGGCTTAGGGTGTGAGGTTTAGGGTTTAGGGTGTGGGGTTTAGGGTTTAGGGTTCAGGGTTTGGGGTGGAAAGCTTCGTCGTTGAGGGCTGGGGAGCGGGGGATAGGGTTTTAGGGTTTAGGGTTTAGGGTTTAGGGCTTAGGGTTTTAGTGTTTAGGGTTTTAGGGTTTAGTCTTTACGATCTGTTGTTTGGGGCTTGGGGAGCGCTTCAGGGGGCCTCTCCAGCACGCTAAGGCTCAGGATTTCGCCTGGCATGCTTAGGGGTTTTGCATAGGGTTCAAGGTGCGTGGCTCTCTCCTCCCCCCCCCCCCCCCCAGCCCTAGCACGGCAAGCTTAAATCCTACACCCTCTACAGAAGCCTAAACCCTGAACCCTTAAGCCCTAAACCCTAAACCCGAAACCCTTACGTAACCCCAAACCCTAAACTCCCTAAACCCTAAACCCTAAGCCCTAAACCCTAAACCCTAAACCCTAAACCCTAAACCCTAAACCCTATAAACCTATAAACCTATAAACCTATAAACCTATAAACCTATAAACCTATAAACCTATAAACCCTAAACCCTAAACCCTACCTAAGTCATCCCTGTTCCCGAAGCACCTCAGCCCCTTAAACTCGAAAGCCAGCTCTTCTTCAACTGGGCTTTGGAGTACTATACTTTAATACTTTTTTTGGTGCTGGGTTCCTATTATTGCCTACTTATTACCTAAAAAGTATATACTTTTTTCCCAGGGTCTACTCCAAAGCTAAGTCAAGGCGCTGGCTCGAGAATGGCCCTGGTCATTGCCCCCGATGCCCGCACCTCAGAGGGAGGGCCACGGCTCAAGGACGTGCAGGGTTTAGGGTTTAGGGTTTAGGGTTTAGGGTTTAGGGTTTAGGGTTTAGGGTTTAGGGTTTAGGGTTTAGGGTTTAGGGTTTAGGGTTTAGGGTTTAGGGTTTAGGGTTTAGCAGGTCTTCGAAGCTTACATACAGGGTCTGTAGGATTTCGCAATTTGGGGCTTAGGTCCAGGTCGACGGATCCCGAAGGGAAGGTTTGTTCTCGGCAAGGCAAGTCTGGCAACGCACACGTCGACAGAATTCGTCTGCGATGGTTGACGCTCGTGCTTAAATCCAACAGGCGGCAATAGAGTCTACAAAGTATGACGCTTCACGGTATATGTGCGTACATACATATGAATAACGTAGATGCTTCCATGTTCATATTTAAAAATCTACAAAGTTACATGATGAACATGAAAAATACAACAGCAAATAAGAAAAGATCAATAAATAAGTAAATATAAACAAATAAATAAATACATATATATATATATATATATACAGATATACATACACACATGCATACATACATACATGCATGCATGCATGCATGCATACATACATACATGCTTACACACATCTATTTTGTTTACATGTCTATGCCTACGTACGCCGCATCATCGCCTAAACACACGTGCATATGGGCATTTTCTCCAGCGCAGCTCCATCTTTCCTGAGGATGCGGCCCACTACGCCGCCAACAAAAAGGCATTCTCCGGGAAGCTTGGGGGTCGAAGGCTTTCGGGCACTGGTTTGGGGTTTAGGGTTTAGTGTTTAGGGCTTAGGGCCACAAGAATGGCCTGCAACCCCAAACTAAAGGTTTCACAGGTTGTTCTTGGCACCTGATTTCCTAGCAGTACTAAACCCTGACCCCCCGAAGCCCTACAGTCCCGTTGCAGCGACCCTAAACCCTAAACTAAACCCTAAACCCTAAACCCCAAACCCTAAACCCTAAACCCTAAAGGCTGGCAGACAGCCACCTGTCATTTGCCATTCCGCTGCCGAGTCGTCGCTGTGCCCCGGCAAGTAACTAACCCAAGCAGCTCGGGGCTGCTCGGTTTAGGGTGTTTAGGGTCTAGGGTTTACGGTTTAGGGTTAGGGTTTAGGGTTTAGGGGGTTTGGTGTGTGTGTGTGTGTTGGCTTTCAAGTTGGCGTCTTCCGATTTGAATGCCAGAAGGTTGAGCTTGTCATGGATGTTGTCGTGTACTGTGTATTTTCCCATTGTGGTTGTTCACGAGTTTGCTTTGTTGTTCTTCATTCTTCCTATGAGGCGTGGTCAAGTCAGGATAAGTGCCTGCGAGTTGCCTCCATTGAGTCGCAAACAAAAAACAGTTCAAACTAGGGATTATGGTACCCCCGAATATGATCCCTATTCGGGACTGTTAGTATAAGGGGTAACATCCCAGGTGCAGGGTTTCACTGTGGTATAAGGGTTTGGGTTTTACGCCTTTGGTTTGCCTTTTTCTAGATGGCCATGCTCGATTCCTGCGCACCTTTTGTTTTTCTGACTCACGCCAACTTTGGCTTCAGTTTCTAGGGCCCAGACCCTAAACCTTAAACCCTAAACCCTAAACCCTAAACCCTAAACCCTAAACCCTAAACCCCTTTGAACCAAAAAGGGCTTCAGTTTTGAGGGTTCCGGGGCCATACAGGGCTTCCGCTCCCCATCATCCACGCCTCAGCCTAAGCATAGCAGTATGACAGGCAACGATTCGGTGAAATTTGGACGCCTCTTTCCCACACACACATATATATATATATATATGTATATATAGATATATATGGAGAGAGAGAGAGAGAGGAAGAGAGAGAGAGAGAGAGAGAGCAAGAAGAATAATAGTAAGAGTAGTAAGAATAATACTAATGCTCATACTAGTTGTACTACTAATAGGGATAATAGTAGTAATAACAATAATAATAATAGATATACGAATAATAACAGTCATAATAACAATAAGAATCATCGCAATAGTGATAATGATAGAAATCATAATTTTAGCAACCAGTTCAAGCTGACCATGCAAAGCCTGACGCCTGCCCGATGCACCCCTCCTAACTGCTAAGTAATAAAACTAACACTAGTAGTAAACAATAGCAGCAATAATAATCGTAATAAGAAACTAATACTAACAGTAATAATCATAGCATTAAGAATCGCAATTTAAGAATAGCATGAATAATCGTAAGACCCGAATAGCAACTCGGCAGTGCCACTGAGGCTTTGGCTGCCGCTGGAAGGTGCGCCTCGGACTGAAGTTCTTTAGGGTTTAGGGTTTAGGGTTTAGGGTTTGGGGTTTGGGGTTTGGGGTTTGGGGTTTAGGGTTTAGGGTTTGGACTCTAGGGTTTAGGGTTTAGGGCTTAAGGTTTAGGGTTTAGAAGCCTGCTTTAAAAGAGTTTAGGGGCGTAAGCCGCTAGAGTAGCTTACGAACCCCAAAACCATCCAAGAGAACAATCCCCACTTCACCCGGAGAAGGGAGAACATTTTCTACCTTTGGGGAGGTTCTTCAGCCCTAAACCCTAAACCCTAAACCCTAAACCCCGAACCCTAAGCCCCGAACCCAGAGAGTATGTCGCCCAGCAGCCGGGAACAGGTTCAAGGCTTCGGTCTCACAGAGGGCTTTTAACACCTGCCCGAATGCAGGGGTAGCCCTAAACCCTTAACCCTTAACCCTTAACCCTTAACCCTTAAACCCTAAACCCTAATGTTAACTTCGCTTTAATAACCCCCCCCCCCCCCCAAAGAGGGGGTGCCAATAAAGGATTCTGGGGGTCTGGGGCCTGGGGGTCTAGAGGTTTTAAGTAAGGAAACCTGGTTTTGAGATCTCTGGCGGTTTCCCATAAGTCCAGTAAGTCCAGGAAGTCCAGGACCCGAAGGCTGAAGTCTTACGGAATTCTTGTCTTGAGACTTAGACCAAGACCCGAAGGCTGAAGTCTTAAGCTTAAGGGACTCTTGTCTTCAGACTTAGAGGTAGCCATTTAAACTTGAGGCTTCCTTGGTTCCCCCCCCCCCCCCCCGTTCGAAATTATTGTTGCCACCCCTATATATATTTGTCATGTTTTCGAGCCGCGGCGGATAAGGATTTTAGTAAGGACACCTTGTTTTCAGACCTCTGGCGGCTTCCTGAATTCCAGGACCCGAAGGCTGAAGTCTTAAGCTTAAGGGATTCTTGTTTGAAGCCTTAGAGGAAGACCTGCTTCTCTGAAGAAACAGGCCTGAAGCAGCAGCTTCTGGCAGCTTCGGAGCTGCAGCAATCTCATCAGACACCTGCTTCTCTGGGCTGCCGCAATCTCAAAAGGCACCTGCTTCTCTGAAGAAACAGGCCTGAAGCAGCAGTTTCTCGCAGCGCTGGAGCTGCAGCAATCTCAAAAGACAAGCAATCTCAAACGAGATCTGCTTCTCTGATCTGAAGACTGGGCTTTGGAGCTCTTTCAAGCCAGCTCAGCTGAAAGTCTTCTCTGCAATGGAACTCTTAAGCCATTTTCAGTAAAATTTTGGATTCCTGGCCAGCCAAATTTCACAATTGTCACCCCATTATTATTCTCATCGGACCCCGCTATATAGGCTTGTTTACACACATCAGCCCGAAAACCTCCCGTAATGGAAAGTAGTCTTGGGCTGAGGCCCTCTGACCCGGCGAATATTTCTACTACCACCCCATTTAAAAATGTGATGTTAACATTAAACCCTAAACCCTCTACCCCAAGACCTGGCCCTGAACCCTACAGAGTCCACACAAACTGCTTGTGAAGTTCCGTTGACGAGGTACGCAAGGCTGAATTCGGCCGAGGGGCTCCCCCCGACATCCTGCACCCAAAGCCCTACTTGGAGGTTCTTGCGTACTCTTAGTAGCCCAGTGGCACCCTTTACCCTTTTTTCCCCACATCTTTGTGTGGGGTTCTTACTTTTGGGGCTGTCCCGCCTCTTCCTCCTCCTCTTCCTCCTCCTCCTCCTTCCCCTCCTCCTTCTCTTCCTCGTCGTCTTCTTTGTTCCTCCTCTATCATCACGCACATCACGTACATCACGCATCACATCACGCACATGACGCACTTCATGTGCCACACAATATCAGGCACGAACTACATCACGCATCACGCACCTGATGCGCCACATAGCTCCACGACGCACTACATGATACATGCACATCACGCACTTCATGCACACACATCACCATCCTGCACAACATCAGGCGCGCGCGCGCGACACACGCGTCGTTTGTGCTGGCAGGCGCGTCACGTAGGGGCCCTGGGCCGTTGCCGCGCGCGCGCTCGGGGGCTCGCGAAACGCTGGCAGGCGCGACACAGGTGTCGTTTGTGCTGGCAGGCGCGGCACGTAGGGGCCCTGGGCCGTTGCCGCGCGCGCGCTCGGGGGCTCGCGAAACGCTGGCAGGCGCGACACAGGTGTTGTTTGTGCTGGCAGGCGCGGCACTTAGGGGCCCTGGGCCGTTGCCGCGCGCGCGCTCGGCGGCTCGCCGCGACACACGCGTCGTTCGTGCTGGCAGGCGCGGTGCTTAGGGGCCCTGGACCGGTGCCGCGCGCGCGCTCGGGGGCTCGCGAAATGCTGGCAGGCGCGACACAGGTGTCGTTTGTGCTGGCCGCGCGCGCGCTCGGGCACACACATACACACACACACACAGAGACACACACGCCCACACACCCACACCCACCCACCCACACACACACAGACACACACACACACACACACACACAGACACACACACACACAGACAGACACACACACACACACACAGAGACACACACGCCCACACACCCACACCCACCCACCCACACACACCCACACACACCCACACACACACACAGAGACACACGGAGACACACACACACACAGACAACACACACACACACAGACAATACACACACACACATACCAGACAGACACACACACACACACAGACACACACACACACACACACAGAGACACAGAGACACAGAGACACAGAGACACACAGAGACACACAGAGACACACAGAGACACACAGAGACACACAGAGACACACAGAGACACACAGAGACACACAGAGACACACAGAGACACACAGAGACACACAGAGACACACAGAGACACACAGAGACCCACAGAGACACACAGAGACACACAAGACACACATAACACACGAACACTACACACACACACAGACACACACACACACAACAGGACAATCACACAGACACACACACACACACACACACACACAGACACACACACAGACACTCACACACACACACACACATACACATGACACCCACACACACACACACAGACACACACACACACACACAGACACACACACACGCACACACACACACACACAGACACACACAGACACAGACACACACAGACACACACAGACACACACACAGACACACACAGACACACACAGACACACACAGATACACACACACACACACATACATTCACACTCACCCACGCACTCACTCGCGCACCTCTCTATTCTTTCTCAATAGATAAATTTGCATGTTGGGTGATCCGGTCCTTTAAAATTTTCTCTGGGTTCCCTGATAAAGTAACCAGGCTGTTTAGGGATAACTAAGCCTAATTAAGGTTATGTAAGGGGGAATCCAGGGGGCGGGGGGTAGTATAGAGGGGGGTAGTAGGCACCCTAAACCCTAAACCCTAAAGCCCTAAACCTTAAACCCTAAACCCTAAACCCTAAACCCTAAACCCATCAAAGGGGCTCGGAAGCCAACCCGAACCTGTCTGCAAAAGTGAGCTGAGGATTCCACGACCATCCTCTGAATGTGTGAGGGTCTGCCGACTCCCCGGCGCCTGGGCCGCGGGGTTTAGGGTTTAGGGTTTAGGGTTTAGGGTTGAGGTTTTAGGGTGTCTCAGGACCCAGAGTAGGGCCTTATCCACTTTGCTTAGGGTTGAGGCTCCCTTTGCAGCTAAAGGGCACCCTTTTGATTCCTAGGTTGCTCTTTGGTCTCAGGGACCCTGAGACCCTGAGTCTGATCCCCTTTATATACATGCCTGATATAGTCGTGCCTACATACCTCAGTAGCCCCTACATTACCCTGAAGGTGCCTTATAAGGGGCAAAGATAGGGTTTAGGGTTTAGGGTTTAGGGTTTCGGGTTCAGGGTTCAGGGTTTTGGGTTTAGGGTTTAGGGTTTAGAGTGCTCGGGACTGTGGGGCACTGAGGCGGCATGGAGTCTCTCGAGGTATTTGTCTGAGATTTTCGGGGCTTTCCTTGGTTTCCCAGTGGTACTAGGGTTTAGGGTTTAGGGTTTAGGGTTCAGGGTTCAGGGTTCAGGGTTTAGGTACCCTTTTTTTTCTTTTGTTTTCTGGGTTCCCTTGCAAAGTTGGCAACTAAAAACAGGCCTACCCTTGTTGTGATATTGCTACTGGGCGACTAAGCTTTCGGGCGTCCCCCTAAACCCTAAACCCTAAACCCTAAACCCTAAACCCTAAACCCTAAACCCTAAACCCTAAACCACAGGTTTCCGCTTCCGGGTTTGGTGGGTCTCAGGCTGCAGGATTCAGGGCTCCGGGCTCAAGGTGCTCTTCGTCTAAGGGTTTCGTCTTTGAATGGAGACCTTTTTGGCACTGTAAATCCCACTAGAAATCAAAGGCTAACACCTCCTTCATCCTTCTTTCCCCCCAAAAGAACTCCAGGAAAAAATGCTGCATCCGCACATCTGAGCAAACAAGTTGAACCTAAACCCTAAACCCTAAAGAATGAACAAGAAACACCCCTGCACTCTTACGCCGTGGCGAAGGTCCTGTTTGGGGACTGAGGCTGCGCTGTGGACGCTTCAAGAGCAAGCGGCAGCAAACTTGTACAGAAGCTTATAACCTTGCTGGAGATCAGCTGAGGGGGAGGGTTTAGGGTTCAGGGTTTAGGGTTTAGGGTGTAGGGTTTAGGGTTTAGGGTTTAGGGTGACCCCTGCACGCTCAAGTTCTGTCGTAACTGTTGTGATGACCCTCATCTTGCAGGCGTAGAACGTGGGACAGTGAAAACGAGACTGCTCAGGGTCGAACGTGTCGTTACTGTATCCTCCCCTTTGTGGCCAACAGTATACAACCCAGAAGCAACCATGTTGAACTGAACCGGCTGTGTAAATGGGTTGATGGGCCGTCGCGGCACTTGGCCCGCTAGCTTGACATGATGACCCCCCGAGCCTGAGCTCCAGTAGGGCTGCCCATGCAAACGAATTCTGCACTATCCAGTGGCCAGCAGCGCAGCAAACTCACTCACAGGG